AGCAGTTCCGCCTATGTGAAGATAGGTCAAAGGTCCTGCTGGACCACGGTTGGCTTCGCTTGGAAGCATGGAGGAAATGATTCCTCTGTATTGACCCTCCTCTTTATAGACTGGACACTGGTTCAAGTCCATCTGGTGGGGTCTCCATGGCCTCCTTGATCAAGAGGACAGGTGACCCACCACCATTATAGGACATTTTGAGAGATGCTCATAGTCCCCTGGAACTAGTCGACCTAGGAGGGCAAAGAGCAAAAAGTGTCCTTTATGTTCCTCTGACCAAATTATAGACCTCAAAGTATGTCTGTTAAACACCCAAGAAGGTTAGTTCCACCAGTCTGGTATTTTTAATTCTGTGTGTCATTTAGATAAATCATAGGCGAAGACCAGTTGTTCTCAGATAAACCTTACCCAGACATATATTTCTTGATCTGCTGTGTATAATTTGTCAGTAGGTTGTAGAAGTAGTATGGTTCTCTCTGGTTTTTAAAACTAGCTAGGCATTGTTTATCTCTCACATTGTCTCACCCTTACATCATGTTTTCCCTCTTAAGGTGCCCCCATTTCCCCCCTTTCTCCCTTACTAATTCCTTTCTCCTATGGGCCTACCTCTGTTGAGCTCCTTCTTTCCCTTTATCCCCTAGGTTCCTTGTATACCCTTCCCTCCCTCCTCCATTAAACTAACCCAATTTTTATCCATATCTCCCTTATTAAGGCCTGTTCCCTACTGTTCTCTTTCAGGTTCTTTCTTTTCCTTTATCTCTCTGTTTCCTTTACATTATCTTGGTTCCTGTAGTTATATCTGGTTGCATACTTATTTATCAGAGTCTGGTTCTAGGATCCACATATGAGGGAGAACATATGCCGATTTTTTTTTCTGAGTCTGTTACTTCACTTAGTATAACAGTTTCTATTTTCACCCATTTACCTGCAAATTTCATGATTTGATCTTTATTTACTGCTGAGTAAAACTCCATTGTATAAATGAACCATATTTTCATTATCCACTCATCAGTTGAGGGACACTTAGGTTGCTCCCCTCTCTTAGCTATTATGAAAAGAGCATCAACAAACATGGATGTACAAGTGTCTCTGCAGTAGGATGCATTTTTTGG